TCTTTTTTGCTTTTGGGGCAATCACTATGGACGTTTTTTTCTTTTCTACTCTTCCCTTCTTAATTTTTTTCTTCCGCACTCTTCCTGCGAGGGGTGCCGTGTGTTTCCGCCCAACTGCTCCACTCGCACACCCACCGACACGCTCATGACGACGGCCCTGTGCGCCTCGCCTGCTGCACGCATGAGGAGGGGCCGCGACGAACGGCGCGCTGAGGGAGCCGTGACGTGTGGGCGTGCGACGAGGGCCGGTGGGGCGGAGCGCACATTTCTTCCCTCTTGTTTTGTTTTCTTGCGGCCAGGGCGGGCAGACACCCGCAGCGCCACACACACACAGCCACACCCTGCCGCCGTGTTTTTAAGATTTTTTGTTTTGCTTGTTCATTTCTCCCGCTGGCAGTCCCGTGAGCATTTCTCTCCCTCCTGATGATTTTCTTTGTTTTTGCTGCGCTCACTCTCCCGATGGAGTGACGCGACTCCCGTCATTTCTGCGTGCTTCTCTCAGTCCCCACACACACGAGTGACTGTGCTCTGCGGGCCGCACTCACACGCCGATGAAAGGGCTGAGGGGAGCAGCAACACGCAGATGACCCCATGAAATATAAACGATGTGCGGACACACACGGAGGGTCAGACGGTTGAAGCACACGTAACCATCTTTTCAATTTTCTTTTGTGGGCAAAATGTATACAGACAGTTTGGTGTGGCCGCACGGCAGCCAGGCGACTTCTTTTTCTTGTTTTAAAATTTGTGTGGAACGGTAGTGGACGATTTATTTTTCATCTATAATTATTTTGTGTGATGGGGTTTTTGTAAGATGAAGGAGAAAGATCTTTTTGTTTTAAACAAATCTTTTGTGAATTGCCGCTTCTTGGGCTGCAGCGCAGTCATGAGTTTGAGCGGTCTTCTTGTTGTTGTTGTTTCTGCCATGCACTTCTGCTGTACGTTTTTGTGCGTCTCTCCACGTACTCTGCCTCCTCTTTTTCTTCTTTGCCTTGTGTTTCTGCAGGCACACACAACCACACACACAAGATGCACATTGCAGTGGATTTGAATGCTCCTTTTGTAGTGCATGCTGGCAGTTGTGTGTGGCGGCTGTTTCCTTCTTCCGTGGCCATGAGGAGAAGGGAGGAGGGAGTGCGCAGCCCGAGTTTCTTTTCCTGCGGGTGTGATGCACCGCGTGTGACTGCGTTGAGTTGGGCACCGTGTCCCATTGAGGGCGGGATGGCAGGTAATTTTGTTGCCGCGCCATGGATGGATGAGGGTTCGCTTGCGCGTGTGCGTTGTTTGTTGGTCGCGGGTTTTTGCCATTTCCCTGGGGCAGCAGGAATGGGCTGAGTGGAGATGGTGGAGGATATCTTCTCCTCCTGCATGGTGGATGGCTGCTGGAGTTGTGTGCCATCCTTGCATGGATGCCGTCTCGTGGTGTGTGAACTGTGTGGCTGGACCTGCTGCCTTCTCCTCATGTTGTCTGCTCTCTCTCACTGTATCCGCTGCACTCCGTCCCTCTCCCTCTTGTTCCATTCTTTTCCTTCTGGCTCACGGATCAGCTGACTCCAGCGACTACACCACGGGTGATGATGGCTGCGATGGTGGCGATGGTGACGGTGCGGTGCCGTGCGGTGTGCGCCGTGTTGGTCCTTGGGCTCTTGTGCTGCTGCTGCTCTTCTGTGTGCGTTACGGCCGCTGGGAGTGCTGGACATGTATCTGGTGATGCGAACGCGGTGGTTGTGTCGGTGGATGTGCTATGTACTCCGAGTGACGGCAGCCCGAGGTATCGCGTGCGTGTGTGTGTGTGTGCATGGAAGAGGTGTTCTGCAGCCAGTGCTGAGGCTCAGCATGGGAATTATACTTTCATTGGCTTTGATGTGCGCATGCATAGCAGAGATGGTGAGCTGTGTGCTGTGCGCCATGTGGTCAATGCGGTGCACACGTCTAGCAACTGTGCTACCAGCTGTGCAACGGAAGAGGAAGGGGCCACCGTTGCCTTCACGACGAATGTGACGACACATAAATACGCCGGCCCTTATGAATTGTGGTGGCGTCAATTTCCCCCGATGGAACCATCCATCCGCCTGCACGGAGCGGCGATGCTGACCAGACGGGCGTCTGTCAGTTGCCGCCACCCCGTGAAGGGAAGGATGACACAAAATCTGGTGGGACAACTGCGCCGCAAGTCAATGCTGAGCCGTCACGTCAGAACGAGGATTGGCGACGGTCTGCGACGGCTGACGGACCCAACACCGTCGATCCGAGTCCCGCATCCAACACGGCGACCAACACATCCGAGATGAGGCCTGAGTTTGCTTACGTTTAAAATATCAATGTGGCTCCGACACCACCTGAAAGAGGGCCCACGCCTGTCACCGATCCAAAGGGGAATCTTATTGATGATGGGATGATTGGTTTAATAAATGTTGAGGTGCCGCAGGGAGTCGATCTATTTGTGCCGCAGACGACGCTGGTGTAGCTGAAGGATGGGATTGTTCCAGTTACGACGAGGGATTCGTTTGCTTCACCCTCTCTCGTCAGTGCTGGTGGAGTAATTGCTGCTTTCGCCGAGGGTCACATGGATGCCGAGTGTCAAGGTGGTCAATTAATTATGCCCTTTTCTTCTGATGTGGTTACGGGGTGCATTGACAATGCGTGGAATTGGTCCGCTCTTGTTGGCGAGGTCAGTGAAAGGATGCATGGAGGGCACACACTGTGCTTGGTGCAGCGGAGGGAAAGGAGAGTTTGGGTGTTGTGCTCTGCCGCACAACAATCACGAAGGGCAACGGATTGTTTCCTCTTGCGGGAGGCTCGGATGTGTCCTAAGAAGGTGGGTGCTGGAGCGAGGGCGGCTTGGAGCCGAAACTGTTTGTGGGTGATGTCACGAATCCCACGGGTGGCAAGCAGAGTGGACGGATCGAATGGGGCGACCCCAAACCACTCTCGAAACTGATCTCTTCTGCTTCTCACGAAGGTGACTGGACGGAGTTCATTGCTTCCGGTGGCGCAGGTGTTGTGATGGAGGATGGCACGCCTGTGTTTCTTCGGATGGCGGTGAATGAAGCGGAAGACGTTTGCTCCATGATCATTTACTCGACGGACAACGGCAGTGCCTGGGCGCTCTGTGAGGACATTTCCCCTGCGGAATGCCTTAATCCCCGCGTCACCGGATGGGAGGGATCACTTCTCATGATTGTTGACTGCGAGGATGGCCAGAGGGTGTGCGAGTCGCGTGACATGGGGACAGCGTGGACGGAGGCCATCGGGACACTCTCAGCCGTGTGGGTCAACGCACGATCGGGAGACTATCAGAAGGAAGCCTGCGTGTGGATGCCCTCATCACCGCGACCATTGAGGAAGGGAAGGTCATGCTGTGCACTCAGAGAGGGTACGCCTCGGGAAGCGAAACGCCACTCCGCTCTGCCTTTGGGTCACGGACAACAACCGCACGTTTTCCGTTGGACCGGTTGCCGTGGAGGAGAATATGAATTGGTTGCTTGCCAGCGCCCTGCTGCACTCGGATGGCAGTTTGCATCTTTTACGACGGAGGGGCAACGGTGAATGCCGTGTCATTTTATTTTCCCGCCTGACGGAGGAACTGAGTGCAATCAAGTCCGTCCTCAGTATTTGGTCGCAAAAGGACATTTTCTTCTCCAGCGTGTCTACACCCACGGCGTGTCTGGTGGCAGTGATTTGTCCGATGTGGCCAGTGATGACACGTGGAACGACGAGTACCTTTGCCTGAATGCAACGGTGACAAATGCAGTGAAGGACAACGATGGGTTCCAATTGACGGGACTTGGGTCCAGGGCAATATGGCTTGTGAACGCTTGGTGTGATAAAGTAAATCATTTATTCTTGAGCCACAACTTCACACTTGTGGCGTCGGTGAGCATCGAATAGGCTCCGAGTGGGAGCACTCCTCTACTGGGTACGATGCTGGCGGACAATGAGCCCAATCATACCATGGGACTGTCGTGCAGCCATAATAAGAAGTGGGAGACGGTGTGCGAAGGCAAAACAACGCGGACCAGCACTTGGGAGCCGAAGAAAGAACACCAAGTGGCACTCATGCTGCAAGGCAACAAGGCCTCTGTGCACGTTGATGGCGAGTCACTGCGGGAGGAGAAGTGCTGCTGACAGGCGAGAGGCCACCTGAGGTCCTGAGTTTTTGCTTTGGGGCGTGCGGTAGGCAAGAATCTCATGTGACGGTGACGAACGTCTTTCCGTACAACCGCCCACTGAATTCCGCTGAGATGCGTGCACTCAAGGACAGGGTCCCTGTTCCGACGAGAGAAGCGACTTCGACACCACCCGAGAAGATTCGAGTAGTTGACAGCGTCAGAGAGCACATTGCTGGGGATATTACCGGAGAGTAATGAATGGGCACGACGCCCTGGAAACGAATCCCTACTACAAACAGTCACCTCGCAGGGTGTGGAGCGGCGTGAGTCCCGACGACCGCCTCGCCTCTCCCAACGACGTGAAATTGACACCGCGTGATTTAAGCGGTAACAACACCGTGCGTGTCGTGTTTGTTGCTGCTTTTTATTGGATTGTATTTCTCTCGTGGCAGTCTGATGAGCCACGGAGTGTGGATTTGCGTTTCCTCACGGAGGATACATGCCGTATTTCCTCGCACTTTTTTATACCACCGTCTTTTTTATTTTTTCAACATTTTACTGATCGTTTTTTAAATTGTTCTTACTTTTTAATGTTCTTTTTAGTTTAGTTCAGCCGTTGCAATAAGCACTTTTGTTTTTCTTTACGTAATGTCTGGTTGCTGCACACTGTAATGAGCGATGTGTTTCCTCCTTTGTTTGCTTCCGTTTTCGCCCACACGCGGTGCCGGCCCTGCGGCTGTGCGTCCCACGGACTGCACGAAAGGAGGATTGGAGGAACAGGCCGGATGCCGCATGAAATGTGAAGAATGTTTTTTGGGCCTGTGAAACAGTGCAATCTTTTTTTTTTGTTTCACTTTGATTATTTTCTTGGTGCGGGCAATATGTATATAGAGAAACACACGGTCGTGTTGTGCTGCCCGGCACATGAAAAAAAAGTCCTGCCGAATCAATTTTCACCAATTTTTCCTTTTGGGGTCATGCCGGACTCTTGCTTTTTCTTTTTTTGTTAATTCACTGTGGCTTGTTTTTGTTGTGCCTTGTCCACTGCCACTGTGTGTTCCCGTGTCGCGTTGAGCGTCCCACTGCTGGCTGTGCTGCTGACATGCCCCTACTTCTTTTTCCTGCTAGAGGCACCGGTGGTCCGCGAAGAAGATTTTTTGTGCTCCCATTGCGATGGCACGAGGGTGACTGGGCGCCGGCCTGCTGAGTGCACTCGGAGGGGAGCGGATGGTGTGCGCCGTGCCTCACTGTGAGTGTGGGACGCCGCCGGCTACACGACGTTGTGGTGCCGCCACAAGTATAAGGTAAACAACAAGTTGCAGTGCATGACGGCCAAATTGATCCGCGTGTGGCTGCAGCACATGGAGCACGTGCGCCTGTACGCGTTGGGCGTTGCGCTCATGATTGGGGAGGAGAGGCGGCACAACGTTGTTGCGCTGTGTGTGTTCCGCGGCGGGGGCATGCCGGCGATTGTAGGGAACGTGGAGGACACGGAGCTGCTGGACTGAGGGAGGAGGTGGCGTACGTTGCGGCGCAGCGAGAGCGCATGACGGACTGCTTGTGCTGGGAGGGCCCGACGATCCCGAGGCGTGTGGTGGAGGGGCGCGTGCTGGAGTGAGCGTGGCGTGCCTGTGGGTGCCTGAGGGGGGAGAACAACAGTAATGGTGACTGTGGAGGTGTGAGGAACGGGTCACGGCGAGGATTAATTCTTTCCTTTTTGTTTTGTTTTTATTATTGTTGAACCGTGCCCACCCAATTGTTGTTGTGGTGCGTGACCCTCATTGCTGGACGGGACGGTGCGTGGCTGTGTGACTTGTCTCTCTCTTTTTGCTTTTGCTCTGCGTTGACGTGTTGTTAGTTTGTGGTGAAGGCTGCACGCAAGTGACAGGCGTGATGGCGATGATGGCTGGCCGTGTGCTGCTGGTGTGTGTCCTCTGCGTGCTGTGGTGCGGTGCTGCAATGGTGGTGGTGGCGGAGGGTTCTGATGGTATTAACGAAATAACAGACAAATTGTCGAGGGGATCACAGTCTGCATCTCAAGTCGGTCATGCAGAAGATCCAAAAATACTAAAGCCAAACGATGGAGTGTCAAACACATCAGAAAACCCGTTGGATGCGCAAGAATTAAGTAACGTCAGCCCTCAAAAAGTTTGCGTCGAACAATCATCAATATTTCATGGTGGGATGGAAGTTAAAGAAGAAAAATTAGAAGAAAAAGAGCCGGAAAATGCAGAACCAAGAAGAAATGGAAAAGAACAATCGCAAGATGCTCCAGAAGGAACACGGGGACGCAAAGGCATAATGGAAGCCCAAGGGGACCCATCTCCAAAAACACCAGCAGAAGAAATGCCAACAAGTGAGGAAGCAACAGGACCAGCAAAAGAACAAACACCAGGACAGGAGGGAGAAACGGGTCAAGCAGCAAAACCGCCACAGTCACTACCGGCAACGTCACCACCAGCATCTGATCGAGGTCAACCTGGTGGCAGTTCTGGTGCTGACAGATCTGTTGGAGGTTCTAAAAGAGGTGAAGGTTCCAATTTGAAGATTTCTGCTTCTGATGGTGTGAATCAATCTGCTGTTGGCAGTTTGGGTTCCGGTGGTGGAACTGGTTTGGACCCCAATGGTGGTGGTGGAAGTAGTGGAGGAGATGGTGGCAGTTCTCGAGGGGACTCTTTGGGTTCTTTTCTTTCTGCAGCTGGCACTTCTTTATCTTCTGCCCTTGATACACCATCCACTCAGGACACGCAATCTTCAGAAGGTGTTCGGCACTCGGAAAAAATGCCTCTTGGAACCGCAGTGCCCAACAAGCAGCCAAAGGAGAGATCAGAACCCAAAGCAAAACAGGGCACCTCTACTTCAGAAGAAGCAGCAGAAAGTCAAGATGATAGTGGGGATGCAGTTGAAAAGGAGAAAGAGAAGAGAGACGTGGGACTGAAATCCACTATAAGCCCAACGCCTAATACCAGCAACCCACCAGTAACACAAACAACTCCACGAGCATCATCCGCAGAGCCATCGCCAACAACAACGGAAGTTCAAGCAGTAGAAGAAACCTCAAAAGATAATGTCACCATCACCAAGAGAAATGACACGGCGACGCCTGGCGACAGTGACAGCAGCGTCGCGGCCTTCCACACCACCTCCCCTCTTTTGCTTCTTCTTACTGTTGTTGTGTGTGCTGCTGCTGCTGCGCTGGTGGCCGCGTGAGAGTGAGGGAGAGAGAGCCACGCACCGCCCGCACACACACTCTTCCTTCTCTCTCTGTGTGTCCCCTTGCATGGACTCTCGCCCTCACCTCACCCCACGAGGCACACACAATAATGTGCCCATTGTATATATGCATGCACACCCATGCAGGCCCGTTGGTGCTCTCTTTTGCACGACACGCACCGCTGCCGTCCTGCCTGGCTGCCTGGGCGGAGCACCGTAACTGTTTCTGTTTTGTTTTTATTGCATTGAGTGGGCGACCTCTCTCTCTCTCCCTCTGTGTGTGTGTTTTGCTTTACGGGAGCAATGAGAGTGTGTGTGCGCTGGTCGTCCCACGCTTCGGCTTCTTCTTTTTTGTGTTTGTGTTTTATTGTTTTTCCTTTTTGATTTTGTGGTTGAGTGCACCCATTCCGCGTGCTGCGTGCGTATGCATGTGTGCTATCGGCTTTTCTGGTTCGTTGCTTTCTTTGGACTCTCTTGTGCCGCACGGCTGCTCTGCAATTATAGGCGCTGAGAAACATACAGACACATGCACACACATGCCGTGTTGCAAACGCTTTGGGGCTGTGTGAACGCTGAGAAGGCCCGCACGCACAAAGCTTTGGCCGCAGCGGTCCTCGCGAGGAGGGAAGACGTGAGCCCGCGATTTGTCTTGTCGAGGTGTTGCTGTCGTTATTTTGGCGGCGTGCAGCCAGTGAGTGGTGTGGCATTGAGGGTGCCTGGGACGAGTGCGGATTTCTTCCCGTCCAGCTGCTGCGCGTGCCGATGTGTCTTTTTTGCTGTCCATCGGCTGAAGTGGGATTCTCCGGCTGTGCGGGGTGATGTGCGCCGGCGGTTGAGAAGCGGGTGCGCTGGAGGAGAGAACAGTGAGATGACTGGCGGCAGGACGTGGGCTGTGCAAAGGACGGTCGTGCTCTCTTGCCTCCCGCTTGTTGTTTGTTTGTTTGTTTGTTTTTGTGAGGGCGCAGCTCGGTGTGTGCTGACGCGTGAATAACGACACACCCGCCGTGACTCCTGCTGCTTCTTCTGGTGGTGGTAGCCGTTGTGTGTTCCTGGTGTACTGTTCGTCCTTCTTCTGTTCCGTGTGTCTGTGTGCGTGAGTTGTTGCTGTGAGGAGCGACTGCGGTGCGGATGATGATGCCACGCAATGTGGATGGGTGGCGGTGTTACTGTTTCATCCTCTTTTCTTGGCACGTTCTTCTCTATTTCTCTCACTCTCTTACGAAGAAAGCAAACAAGCGCGAATCGCTACTGTGAAATTCGAAGGCACTGAAAGGACCAACAGCACACACACCGCCCACATACACATATTTATATGCACTCACGTGTTGCTGCTGTGAAGGCACCCCGCACACACAACCGTCGCCGCGTGATCGGATCCGGCGGAAGGAGGAGGAAAGGAAGAGAGAGTGAGCCGCCGAGGCCCAACATGTCCCGGCATGTGTTTAATTCCGCGGCGCTGCTTCTCCTTTTCGTTATGATGATTTGCTGCGACAGTGGAAGTGCTCAGACGGAGGTGCAGCAGTCGTCTGATCCAAAGTCATGTCGGGTTTCTTCGCCGGAGGAATTCTTTGTTTGGAGAGACAAGAAAAACGATGAAGCAGTGAGTTCACTCCGTGTTCCCAGTCTTGTTGAGGTGAATGATGGTTTGTTTGCCGTTGCCGAGGCGCAGTGCAAGAAAAACAGTGAAGACACCGTCTTTACTGGCATTTCGTCCGAACTTCTTACGGAAACGAAGGATGTTGAAAAGAAGGAAGTTCTGAATGATGCCAACACGAAGACACAATTTTTGGTGAAAGGCCCTTCTGCAGATGCAGAGCAGAAAGTAGATGTGAGCCGACCAACAAAAGTTGTGAAGGGAAGTGAGATTTACATGCTTGTTGGAAAATGCAGCGGGACAACTGTCGGTAGTTGTCAGGGTGAGGTTAACGCGGATCAGTGGGGAATTTTTCTGGTGAAAGGGCATGTCACTTCTGAAGAAGGCGACAAAATTCACTGGAACGACACTCACGCTCTACCTTGCACACTTTTTAAACAAGAACACGAATCCTTGATGCAGCTGGTTGGCGGCGGTGGATCGGGTGTTGGGACGGAGGGCAATGCACTTTTTTTCCCAGTGGAAGGCACAAAGAAGAAGAAAGGTGAATCAGGAGGCGATGTAAAGATTGTTTCGCTGATTATATACTCGAAGGATACTGCTGAGAGTTGGAAGCTGTCGAAGTGGATGTCTGACGATGGCTGCAGTGATCCCTCCGTCGTGGAGCGGGAGAAGGGAAAACAACTCATGATGATGACTGCGTGTGATGATGGCCGCCGCAGGGTGTACGAGTCCGGTGACAAGGGGGATTCGTGGACGGAGGCACTCGGGACACTCTCGCGCGTATGGGGAAACAAAAAGGATAAAAACAAGAAACGCGTTAGGAGCGGGTTCACCACAGCGAGGATTGAGGAAAAGGACGTGATGCTCGTTACTCTGCCGGTGTATCCTGAGAATAAAGGAAAAAACGAAAAGGGTGTACTTCATCTTTGGCTGACGGACAATACGCACATTGTTGATATTGGGCCGGTGTCCGGAGAAGATGAGGACGTTGCCGCCAGCTCCCTGTTGTACAAAAGTGGTGGAAATAATAATAATGAGAAGTTGATTGTACTGTACAAGAAGAAGAAAGGCGAATCATCATCCGGTATGGTCTCTGTGCTTCTGACTGCGCAGCTAGAGCGGGTGAAGGAGGTGCTGGCGACGTGGAAGAAAGTGGACGAACGTGTCTCCAAGATGTGCCCTTCTGGGAGTGCTGTGCAGGGTACCTCAGCTGACACTGCATGCAGCCCTGCCATGCCGGTGGATGGGCTGGTTGGCTTTTTGTCCGGCAACTTCTCTGAGAGCACGTGGAGGGACGAGTACCTCGGGGTGGACGCCACAGTAAAGGGGACTGATGGTGGGGCGGAGAAAAAGGCAGAAGTGGCCACAGTGGATTCAGAGAAGGGCGTGAGGTTTCAGGGGGCGTGGGCGGAGTGGCCTGTTGGCAAGCAAGAGGAGAATCAGCTGTACCACTTTGCGAACTACAACTTCACTCTTGTGGCGACGGTGTCCATCCACAAGGCGCCGGAGGGAGTTAACCCCATTCCTTTGATGGGTGTGAAGATGAATGGTAAACCAAAGAAATCTTTTGGGTTGTCGTACGAGAAAGGAAAGTGGAAGCTACTGTGCGGTGACGGACCAAAGTCTGGGGAGCACAGTCGCGATTGGGAGCCGGGTACAACATACCAGGTGGCCATTGTGCTACAGAACGGCACCCAGGGCTCCGCGTACGTCGATGGTCAGCCTGTGGAGGATGCGCCATGTGCGTTGAAAAACACGTATCCGAAAGTGGTGTCACACTTCTATATTGGAGGGGATGGAGGCAGCGCAGAAAACACAGAAAGCCGAGAAGTCGTGCCTGTGACTGTGACGAACGTCCTGTTGTACAACCGCCCGTTGGATGACACTGAGCTTACTGCGCTTAACACAAATAAATTTTCTATTCCAAAGCTGGAAGATCTAAAAACAGAGGTGAGGGATGCTTTTCCACTAGCTGGAACTGAACCACATACGCTGGGAGCCGTCTCCTCAACTATTCGTGGCGGGCATCAGGGCACCGAAGAGAAATTGTTGAAGATAAGTGATGATGCGGGCAGTCTTGGTACATCCAATTCTGCAAAGACCACTATGACGACTCACTCAGTGGGGAGTCAATCTGCAGAGCAGTTGGCGTCGGGAGGATCTCACGATGTAAATAAAAATATGAATGTCGATTCCTCGTCTAATGGTAACCCGGCGGTGGGGACAGTGGGTGGAGACACGAAGCAGGGAAATTGATCACCGCAAATTTCTGTGGGTACCTCTGACACAGCAGATGCAAATACTCCCGCCACTGAGGGCGAGGGGCAAGATGGACCCACAGTGAATCCTGAGGCAGGCGCGAGCTCTGGTGAGAATGGGGAGCCAACGGAAGGAACGAATGTGCAGGAGGAAGGGGCCCAGCCACAGGACGGCGAAGTAAATGCCACGGCGCTCAGCAGCAACCTCGGAACCTTGTCGCAGGGGAATAACAGCGATGCTGTCACTGTGCGTGGGAGCGGACTGCTGCCACCGCTGCTTCTTCTGTTGGAACTGTGGGGATTTGCGGCTCTGTGAGGAGTGAATGGCTGCCGCGTGGGACAATTGCGACCCCTTCCCAGCACAGAATTACTTCTGGAAAGAATATTTTTGATACTTTTACTTTTTTGTGCACATTTTAAATTTATTTTAATGTTTGCTACATTCTGGTTGATTTTTTTTTTTCTCTTTTATGTGTTTTTGATTTTCTTTTTTTTTTTTTGCTTTTCACTACGCTTTTTAATTTTTTACCTTAAAAATTTTTTTTTTTCTATTTCTTACTACCCCATTCCTTTTTTTTCTTTTTTGCTTTTGGGGCAGTCACTATGGACGTTTTTTTCTTTTCTACTCCTCCCTCTTTAATTGTTTCTTTGCTGCACTCTTCCTGCGAGGGGTGCCGTGTGTTTCCGCCCAACTGCTCCACTCGCACACCCACCGACACGCTCATGACGACGGCCCTGTGCGCCTCGCCTGCTGCACGCATGAGGAGGGGCCGCGACGAACGGCGCGCTGAGGGAGCCGTGACGTGTGGGCGTGCGACGAGGGCCGGTGGGGCGGAGCGCACATTTGTTCCCTCTTGTTTTGTTTTCTTGCGGCCAGGGCGGGCAGACACCCGCAGCGCCACACACACAGCCACACCCTGCCGCCGTGTTTTTAAGATTTTTTGTTTTGCTTGTTCATTTCTCCCGCTGGCAGTCCCGTGAGCATTTCTCTCCCTCCTGATGATTTTCTTTGTTTTTGCTGCGCTCACTCTCCCGATGGAGTGACGCGACTCCCGTCATTTCTGCGTGCTTCTCTCAGTCCCCACACACACGAGTGACTGTGCTCTGCAGGCCGCACTCACACGCCGATGAAAGGGCTGAGGGGAGCAGCAACACGCAGATGGCCCCATGAAATATAAACGATGTGCGGACACACACGGATGGTCAGACGGTTGAAGCACACGTAACCATCTTTTCAATTTTCTTTTGTGGGCAAAATGTATACAGACAGTTTGGTGTGGCCACACGGCAGCAGGCGACTTCTTTTTCTTGTTTTAAAATTTGTGTGGAACAGTAGTGGACGATTTATTTTTCATCTATAATTATTTTGTGTGATGGGGTTTACGTAAGACGAAGGGTAACGTTTCTTTTTGTTTGTTTGTTTGTTTTAAATAAATCTTGTGTGAATTGCCGCTGCTTGGGCTGCAGCGCAGTCATGAGTTTGAGCGGTCTTCTTCCTGTTGTTTCTGCCATGCACTTCCGCTGCACATTTTTTTGCGTCTCTCCACGTACTCTGCCTCCTCTTTTTTACCTCTTTGCCTTGTGTTTCTGCAGGCACACACAACCACACACACAAGGTGCACATTGCAGTGGATTTGAATGCTCCTTTTGTAGTGCATGCTGGCAGTTGTGTGTGGCGGCTGTTTCCTTCTTCCGTGGCCATGAGGAGAAGGGAGGAGGGAGTGCGCAGCCCGAGTCTCTTTTCCTGCGGGTGTGATGCACCGCGTGTGACTGCGTTGAGTTGGGCACCGTGTCCCATTGAGGGCGGGATGGCAGGTAATTTTGTTGCCGCGCCATGGATGGATGAGGGTTCGCTTGCGCGTGTGCGTTGTTTGTTGGTCGCGGGTTTTTGCCATTTCTCTGGTGCTGCAAGAATGGGCTGAGTGGAGATGGTGGAGGATGCCTTCTCCTCCTGCATGGTGGATGGCTGCTGGAGTTGTGTGCCATCCTTGCATGGATGCCGTCTCGTGGTGTGTGAACTGTGCGGCTGGGCCTGCTGCCTTCTCCTCGTTTTGTCTGCTCTCTCTCTCGCTGTATCCGCTGTGCTTTGTCCCTCTCCCTCTTGTTCCATTCTTTTCCTTCTGGCTCACGGATCAGCTGACTCCAGCGACTACACCACGGGTGATGATGGCTGCGATGGTGGCGATGGTGACGGTGCGGTGCCGTGCGGTGTGCGCCGTGTTGGTCCTTGGGCTCTTGTGCTGCTGCTGCTCTTCTGTGTGCGTTACGGCCGCTGGGAGTGCTGGACATGTATCTGGTGATGCGAACGCGGTGGTTGTGTCGGTGGATGTGCTATGTACTCCGAGTGACGGCAGCCTGAGGTATCGCGTGCGTGTGTGTGTGTGTGCATGGAAGAGGTGGTCTGCAGCCAGTGCTGAGGGTCAGCATGGGAATTGTACTTTCAGTGGCTTTGATGTGCGCATGCATAGCAGAGATGGTGAGCTGTGTGCTGTGCGCCATGTGGTCAATGCGGTGCACACGTCTAGCAACTGTGCTACCAGCTGTGCAACGGAAGAGGAAGGGGCCACCGTTGCCTTCACGATGAATGTGACGACACATAAATACGCCGGCCCTTATGAATTGCTGTGGCGTCAATTTCCCCCGATGGAACCATCCATCCGCCTGCACGGAGCGGCGATGCTGACCAGACGGGCATCCGTCAGTTGCCGCCACCCCGTGAAGGGAAGGATGACACGAAATCTGGTGGGACAACTGCGCCGCAAGTCAATGCTGAGCCGTCACGTCAGAACGAGGATTGGCGACGGTCTGCGGCGGCTGACGGACCCAACACCGTCGATCCGAGTCCCGCATCCAACACGGCGACCAACACGTCCGAGATGAGGCCTGAGTTTGCCAGCAATCCGAACGAAATAATGGTCCCGAATGCGTCCAAGAAGAGGCCTTCCTTTGCCAACGGTCCGAGAATATTAGTGGCGTCGAATGCATCCGGGATCATGTCTGTCACTTGTGGCGGCAGGGAACACGTTGCTGCGGATAACACGGACGAGTTGAGTGAGCACGACGCCACTGGACACAAGACTCTCGTTTTAGAGAATGGCGTTGCAGGCAGTGGACCGGCCGCTGAGGGTGATGCTGGCGGATTGAGTCAACGCAATGCCTCTGGACACGAGAACCCCAATTACGAGAATTCACCGCGCGGTATTCCGGGAGTGGCGGGAGTCTACACGACTGCTTTGCCCTGCTCAACGACGCGAAATTGACACTGCGTGATTTGACTGTTGACGGCACTGTGCGTGTGTGCGTGTCTTGTGTGTTGCTACTTCTTTTGGGATTGTGTGGAGTTGTGGCAGCATTATAAGCCAAAGAGTGTGGAATTGCGACTCCTCACGGAGAACATGTGCCGCTTTGCATGCGTGTTTTCTTTTATTATTTACATTTTACTTTGTTGGCTTTGTTTTTTTCCTGGAATGATAAAGATCCTTGCCATTCCTTCATTTAATGGTCGGTTGCTGCACACTGTCATGAGGGACGTGTTTTCCCCTCTTGTTTTGTTGTTTTTTGCCCTCACGCGGTGCCGGCCTCATTGCTGTGCGTCCCACGGACTGTACGAAAGGAGGAGTGGAGGAACAGGACGGATTCCGGACAAGATGTGAACAACGTTGTGTGGGCTCACGTAACAGTACGATCTTTTTATATTATATTTGGTGCGGGCATTATGTGTACACAGAAACACATGCTCTTATTTTGCTGCCTGACAAAAGAAATCAAAGTCCTGCCAGAGCGTCAATTTTTTTTTTTTTCCTTTTGTTTGGAAGTTATGAACAGAATGATTGCTGGAGAGCTGGCTGAATTAATCTAATATATGTCCTGATAAAATGAAGCCACTCCCTTGCGACACCCTTCCTATCTTGTGAATTTGGGAAGAAGACGAATTTATGGGGATCAGGGAACCGATAGAGGCCAGACAATTATTTTTAAGTTTGCAGACACAGCGGGGTTGGCCTAAGGAAACGGCGTTGGTTCCTATTAAACGGTTCCCGAGTGGAGCGATATTGGCGCCCGACTCTCAGAATTGATACGCCAACATGGCGCTGTCCGGGCGCGGCTCACCTTCATTGATGAAACCGGGACGACGGATGCGACGTCAGCCGCGGCCGCCTCAACGACAGACTTGCGCATGGATTTCGGGACCCACCACCAAGCCCCGGGTGGATTCGAGCCTTACAGGACACGTTGCGAATCGCCGGGCGCCCCAAATACCAAATTTCGAGAACCAATTGCTCCTGCCCATCGTGCGGGCGCGGCCCGGGAGTTGGGGGTCCATCGAGGGCTCATCATCGCTGAAAGGGAGCGCTTGGGCACGGACCACGCCTATGCCATCGCGGGCGCGCGGAATCGAAACACCGAGCTTCACTCGCAGGCGGAAGAGGCGCATAATAGCCTATCGGCGCGCGAAGCTGGCATCGCGGTCGCCGACGCGAACAGCAGTTGGAGGCAACCCGCGCCCAACTACAGGAACGAGAGGCACGCGCTAGCGCCAGAGAAGCGCAGCGAGCCGCGCGGGTGGCGGAGACGGCGGCCAGGGAAGGAGCCCCCACCTCTC